TATGGAAGTTGCTGCCTCCTAGCAATGGCTTGTAATCTGTGCAGAGATGCAGAAGACGGTCCTCATTTTCTAACTTCGACCATGTAGCTCCCATTGGCCACCTAAACGACGCTTTTGAGCTCAGACTCCTGACCCGTGGGTTTAAGTCACGCTTGCTTTAGAAACTCACTCAGTTTATAGTAGAACTCATCCTTAATTAAATCCTGAATGCTTTGCGTCGGTTCACAGGCTGGAGTGACGAAAATATAACATCTATCGCTCCAGGTTTTTCTTGCTTTCTAGCCACACAGCACATAAATGACTATAAAATGAGGATGCAGTTGGATGATGCAAGTTTGACTCGAGCTCTCAGTGTAACACCGACGTAGCTGAATTGGATGACGGTTCTACAGAGTTGCCAGATAAACTGAGGTGGTACACACTGTTTGTCTTTGCAGATTGGGAAGATATTCAAAGTACTTCATTGAAATAATAGTCTGTTTGATGCTGCACACATCAACAGCAATTTTTTCAGGGTTTTTATCAGCTCTATCTGTTCACTGATTCTCATAAGTGAGCAAACTATGTATTTGGTAAGCTTGGACGCGTAACGCAGTTTCAGAGTAACCTTTTTGAATATCACGCTATAGGCCAACTTTCTGAAGACAACTAAATAGCCACTTAGGATGGGACATATAGACTGGGATTTCAAACAATAGCGAACGGCTAACCGAAGTAGAGGTACTAAAGAAAGTAAAGATTATATAGACAAAAATCAAACTAAATGGTTCATACATAAAAATGAAAATATAGTGATAAGGGATCAAGTTTTTGAATATACGATTGAGGAATTAATCTATGATGGTGCTCATGCGAGTAAAATTTTCCATGATTTGTGTGGAGGTTGACATACTGGTCGGACGCCAGGAATGATGTCTTAGGGGACCACAACTAGTTTGATTCACAAGGCAGCAGAATAGCATCAGGAGCTGCTCCCATGGTTGCCGGTGGCTAAAATATATTTGCGATCCTTTTGGGTTTTGGGGCCCACTTGCACCGTAGGCTTCTGCTATAGGTTTTCTAACTCCTCGAGGTGAACCTCCTTGTCCACGAGCCCGGTACTAAACACAGGCATTTACCATTTCACTTTTGTGAGAACCCTCCCCGCCGAGTGAGTGTAGTGAACAGGACGTATCTGTTCACAGCTTATGAACTGGTGGACATATGAAAGTATTTTGGGAAGAAGACTGAAATCTACCCATCTTATGCCCTGCCAGGTCGTTTGTGGAAGTTGGGAAGTGGTGATTGCGTCACAAAATCAAAATGTACTAAATTTCAAGAGAAATCCAGCAAAATCTATCTGGAAAAATTTATTAGTATTTGGTGGCAAAATCAGTACATATGTGGCTGTTCTTCTCACATAGCACTAATTCAAGTTTATTAAGAGTGGTATAAGCACTTTGACTTTACGCATTTCGCATTAGATGCAAAGAAAACAATACATTTCGACCTTTGCTTACTCTGGACTACTTTACCGATTAAAAGTATGTTTTTTTATTCCTTCACGTTCCCCGGTGGAACATAGGGCTTCAAGCTAGTGGCCTGAAGATTCTGTAGCAGTGTTTATTTTGCAGGATGGGGTTGCTAGCCTCATGCCCAGCCTTTACTCTTTTCCAGGATTATTTCTGGCTCAGCGAGGTACAGGAGTGCGCCGGCCGGGAACCGAACCCCGGACCATGTGCATGGTCGGCTAGCGTCCTAGCCGCTATGCCACCGACGCACAAAAGTATGTTAGCTGTTAATAAATCATGTTATCTCATAATTATATTATTGTAAACGTAAACAATGCTAGTTGTGGCGCTGTTGTCGAGACACTAACAAATGATATCGGCTTACAAAGCTTGTCATACTTTACATACCTGCATACATACTGCACCAAGGTCTGAAAGTCAGTAGTTAAACTTTACTTTCTTTTTGGAGATATTGTTGTCTAGTGGCTCTGTGTCCTTTATACTGGATTGCTTTTGTGTATACTTTTATGTTGCATTCAGGTGTACAGTTATTTTTTACTAACTTTTGTGCCATGTTGCGTGTGGCGATCTCTGTACGCATGAATCGTGTATGGTTGTAACACTAGGATGATAATTGTGATTATAAGCTATTTATAACTTTCTATGCTAGATTTAGTAGTAATGATTAAATAGTGTGTTTTGTGTACAAACTAATTATTCTGATTGATTAACCTTGAGATCTGTTAGATACTAGCTTTTTGGAAGTTATGTGAGTACTTTGATATGTATGTCGGTAATTTTCTTTGGAACTTTTTCACTAGATAAGTTTAATACTGTATTACTGTAAGTCATATCAAATTATTGTGTGATGGAACTAGTGCCTGATTAAGGTTATGTTACATTAGAATTTTAGTAGTAGGAGAATGTGTAAATTTGACTTCTTACGAAGCGCTATGGATATAATAAGTGTAGTTAGTTTCATGAAAATCCCACTGAAGAATACGTCAACGTCTTTCAAGCTCACCGGATTCAATGAATTATAAAATTGCAGGGTGAAAAAGTAGCAAGTCCAAAAGTAGTGTATTAGTCTTAAATATTTAATGCATACAGTAATATTTCGGAATCTAACTTCGAGTGTAATTTTATTCCTTTATGTTCCCAGTGGAACGTAGGGCTTCAAGCTAGAGGCTTGAAGTTTTGGTAGCAGTGGTGTTTATTTTTACGGGGTGGCGTTGCCAGTTTCATGCCCAACCTTCCCTCTCTAAAAGTCTTATTACTGTCGAAGTAAAAGAGTGCGTCGGCCAGGGATTCAACTCTGGACCACGTGGTCGGCGTGCATTCTATCTCTGTGCCGCAGATGCACCATTTTATCCCTTTTTAAGAGAAAATTCTTTTTAGATGAACAAATAAAAAATCAGCATGTATTGCTCTTCTCATCTTAGAATTCATCTGCTTTCTTAGAATGAGCGCTACATGTCCAAGTAGACCTCTTCATTATCACAGGCACGGTTCTGACTCCTATATTACATACAAAAATCCACATGTCTTCAGGATTTCTAATGCATCAATGTACGATAACGTCGTTGAATCATAAGTCACAAATGAAGACTTGTTACTTTGTGTGAGTAGCAAAATAGTATTTAAAAGTGTGCAAAAAAGCAAGTGTGGTATTTAACCGCTCAATGCACGACAAGACACTCGGAGATTATTGTTCAGCTACACAGTGGAGATTAATTACACCAGCAAATGCCCCTATAAACGACCTGGTATGATTGAGAGTGTGTAAAGTTTGGTCCTTGTCTTGAAATTCTGTCATGTGGTCACGCATTTATAGCATCTTCCAGGTAATTCCTATTCACTGCCTTCCTCATAAAAGTGAAAAGGTTGATGCGAACTTCTGGCCCTTGCAACTGAACTGGGGGATATGTAAGTCTACCTGCGAGAACTGGAAAACCCTGATTTCAAACGTATGGTATACATGTGCTCCAGAAAATTCTATCTGCTTGGCATCTAGTTCACCATACTGAAATAATTGTGTCTTATTGACCTTCATCCACCTAAATTCCATTACAGTTTTTTAATGTGTTTAATACTTTACTCATAGAATAAATCAACTGGTAGTGTTATTCCGCTCAAGTTCTGCTATAAGGCTGTAAACGTATTTGTCGAATGCTTTTGTGTCTTGTTCATTCACTTTGGTGCGAAATAAAGCAGTTTAAAATAGGGAATGACAACTGGTTAGAATTATGCAACACGATATAAGCAAATACGAATTATTGGTGAGTCCCCATCAGGCTTTATAATTACATAATAAAATATTAGTCATGGGCATTCGAAGTAATGTGGATGAGTAGAATCTAAGTCCACGGATGTGAGTTAGTGAATGATAATAATAGTAATAATAATAAAGTTAGCAGTACAAATAAAAATAACATTCACAGTTGTCTGGTGTCACTGGAAGAGATAACTATTCCATGTTGATCCTGAAGATCATGGAGACGGATTGAGCAAACTTTTTCTGCCCACAGAGATTGGGTTGAAAACTTAAGGAATTGAGGTGACATCTTGAACAGGCTTGTAAACGCTGAATTTCATATCAATCTTGTACTCCGTATACACAAGTTGAGCCAACATGAAACCACTGATTGACTTTTAGACTCATTAAACGATGTTGGACAATGCTCAAAAAGGCGATGGTGGGCTTACGGAGTCGTTCTATTTATGTATCTGTCTCTACATGAACACTTGAATTTATAAATGCCCATTTAAGTGTCTAAATTGAGAAGTTGCCGAAAATAATTACTTGCTGAAATCGTTTTTTTAATTATCATAATGAGAATATTTAAATAGTTAGTGTTTGACCCTCCACTACTGGCAGCAGTTTTAGAGCTTTTCTAAAATTAATAGTAAGCAAGTGGCAAAAAGTGTAATTTGTCCGAAACTATTTCGAATTTGGTTTAGCCCCGTCGGTGCTCACCTGTTACTATTTGATGGTAGTAGGATTTCAACACAAATTAAGCTTTTTCGTCTGGCATATCTCATTGTACAACGCGGAAATCTCCTGTCACTCTCGTACTTTTAGATATGCATCAAAAGTAAAAGACATGAAAAAATCATACGTTTTCAGTCATAAACGTCTTCAAAGTGTTAAAGTCACAAAGTAAGTGGTTATAAAGTATTCAGATTTCTGGAGATATCATTGTTCTAAAGATGAATTTCATATCGTGTCAGTTTCTTAACAAACCTACGGTAGAATCAGTCAAATCTCTGCATACCCAGTGTTTGAGTCTGACAGAATTTCTTTCTTTTCTACAGGCAATTTTTTCAATATTCTTGTGATCTCCCTTTTCCTTTCGTATTAGGAGGAATAATGACCTGTAATAATGAAGCGTCGCATCTTCAGCTGCATTAGTGTATTAATCGCATAATAGTCAGTTTGCCTTATTCTTCGTTTGTCATTTGTATCTTTCATCTCAATCACATCCGTTTCCTCTTATTTTCCTTTCTTAGAAATGACGAAGAAATAGCTGTTGTATATTTCAGAACTGGGTATACTCCAGATGCTTTTCCTGATAATGAAGTAAGTATAGTTTTTTCTGTTTATAGTTGATTGCCTTTTCAGTCCTTGTTGAAGTAGTTGTAAATGTGATGTTCTACTTAATTCGTTTGATAAACATATTCTGCTGAGTAGCTTGATAGTTGGTGAAAAATGACTCTGTTCCAAGTTATTTTTTATACTTACAGGCATTAGCTAAATAGATATACATGTGACTGTTTCATATCTACTTCCTTATAAGTAATAGGTCATTAGTTATTAAATCATGTGCACATATAAACTGTTCTTTTTTAATAGTGGAACAATGTCGTGTTTTTTTCTGTTTAAGTGAACAGCCTGAAAACTGTATTCTGAATGTATTACCTTCACATTGGATACAAATATAAAAACTACTTAATTTCCATTGTTATTGTTTCAGGTTTCAAAAATTAATTGTATTTTATTTCACACTATAACTTACCTTCCGCTTCTCACAGTGATCATTGTAGGTCGATGCAAAAGAATAACAGAATGAGCAAACAAACCTTGCTTGCATAATTGATTGCTTAATAATAGGCTATAAATATTTATTTTTCTTTTCTTTTTTTTCCAATGTTCACCTGACTTTTCTGTAATGCAGACATGGGATGTGAAATATCAACTTGAGAAATCTTTAGCTATTAAATGTCCATGCATACAGTATATGCTTGCAAATACGAAAATTATCCAAGCCGCTTTATCTAAACCAAAATATTTGTCAAGATTTTTTCAACCTAACAGTTCAAGTTATCAGAATGTTTTATCTACTTTTGCCAATCAATATACCTTAGACGCAGAGATCGGAATATCTGACTCAACAGAAATTCAACAAGTTATTAATGAGTGTATGCTGAAACCAGAAAATTATGTCTTAAAACCACAAAGAGAAGGTGGAGGAAATAACTATTTTGGAGGTAGTTTGAAGTTTAAACTTTTTTCTTCTAAAACAGTTTACACATAAATTATCAATAGTTTTGTTAGAGAGGCTTGCAAAATACGCAGATATTGGATTGTAAAACACACCTATTGGGTGAAGTTTAAAAATGTTTTATTGGATATCCATGTGGATTTTAATGTAGTGCAAGTAAGATTATTGACCTGTTGGTTGGAAATCAAGAGTTTAAATTACTGAGAAAACTGCTTGAGTTTTTACACTGTGACGAACACAGCCTTTTCATGCACCTGGTTTTGAGCCAAACTTATAGTGCAACAGTTATTGATACTATCTAAATGACCACTTCAATATATGGAGTGAGAGTTAAACCCGTGATTCAATTACTGACAGGCGAGTGCTTCATCCGGTCAAGTTAAAGAACATCGACCCAAGGGTACGAAGGCACCAGTAACCTCCTAAGGCGTAATCAGATCAAGGTAGTAAAGCCAGGTAAAAAACGCCATATCCCCAGAGGAATGCTGAGAAATGGACAAGAATATCAGATAGGATACTTTTCTTTCTTTCTTATAGGTGCTTAACTCTGTTCCCCTTCTTTTGCCTAAATTGCTCTTATTGATGCAATTGGCTCTTTGAAAGTCATTGGTACGTTCCTTACTTTCAAGCCGCTACTCTTTAACTTTGACCTTAAGCCAATGAACCATATCTCCATGTGCGTATATTAGAAACGTGTAACATTCTAAAAGTACAACTGTACTTGGGGTTTTGGTTTATAAATAACTAGGGAGTTTTCAGAGTCACAGATACTCTTCAGTAGTGAGTACAAACAAGCGGGAAACCTTGGTTCACAGCTTACTTTATTCGGTGACCACGTTGAAATTTCGTTAGTGAACTTCCACTAGGCCTACATAAGTTATCACCTAATATCTGACTCGATGCCAATAATGTATGTTTTCAACAAATTGCTTACAGTAACTCTTTAAAATCATTTCTGATCATGCTTGCTCGCTATCTTCTAGGTAGAGGAATTCATATTGTAATAATGACATGTTCTTTATCCGTATTAATTTGTCAATAAATTATTTTCTTCCTCACACACTCATAGAGCAACTTGTACAAAAGTTGAAGTCGATTATGAATCATCATGAGAGAAAAGATTACGTACTTATGGAACGCATACGTCCTTATGTTTTTGAGAACCAAGTGTTAAATTCGTTTTCAAAATGTAATGAACCAAAAGTTCAAGAAATGGTAACTGAATTGGGTATTTTTGGTGCTATTCTAGTGTAAGTTCAGTAGACGAATAAATTATTTTATTCTTCGTGTCTCAAAAAAATAGTTTCTAATGTAAACTTAGTGGTTGTAATCTATTTCGACCATTTCGTAGTTGATAACGTCCAAATCCACTAACTGTCCACTATGGATGATCTGAATGAATAAAAAATAGGATGTGTCAGAATTTTAATACGGTATTACTGACATAGTCGACCACGATTAATAGACAGTACTGTCTTACTCCTGTATTCACTTCGAGCGCCTCACTGCGTTCCCCGTTGTGCACCACCTGACACGTGGCATTGTCATGTAGTTGTTGGATAAGGTTGATAGAGACTTGGAAACTGCACGCCGTAGTGTTGAAACAGTTTCTAAATTACTTCTCAGGGAACACTGTCGAAGGCCTTTTCGAAGTCGATAAAGTTGAGGTAGGGTGAGGTTTGACTATGATTCTACGCTTTGTTCTGTGATGACGATGCATGGACTTGCAATTTGATCAACGCATGATTTGCCTTTCCTGTATTCAGTCAGCTTGTTCCGTGTGGTGGGCGGAGTTCTGTATCCAGTGCATCTTTTATCTCGTTCAGGATGATGCGACTTAGTATTTTACTTGGTTTGGATAAGAGCATTATTTCACACCAGTTTTTGTAGAGGCCCAAGTCACCCCTCTCTGGCAGCTTGATGAGGTAGCCAGCTTTTCTCCCAATCGGTAGGCACTTTCCTTTCCTTCCGAAACTTTTGAAACAATGGCGCGAGAACATTTGTCACAGTCTCTGGATCCGTTTTCGGTGTTTTGAGTGGTGGTGGTGAGGGCGTGGAGAATTAAGTGTGGTCCTGCTGCCTTCCTTACTGGACTTCAGGAGCTTGACCGAATTCGGGATTTCTGCTTCCGTTGGAGAATTGGTGACCACTGGGAGACAGTTGTGTGCGTTCTGTTGTTGGTGGTGTATTTCTGGAGGATTTGCGGGTAATGGTCAGTTCAAGATTCCTTTAAAGTGGTCAGCCCATTATTTTATTCGTCTCTCCCCTTTGGTAATCAGGTTCTCTTGAGCATCTTGTATTGGTTTGATTATCTGGGTTGATCTCTCTGTTCTGTTTTCGACATAGAACTTTGGGCCGATGTGCGGCAATTCAAGTCGCCACACTCCCTCCTTGTAGCACACAAAGCAAGAGAAGAAGGTAGAACAAATGCCTAATAGAGACAGTAAACAGAGATGTGAGACAAAGGAATGGTAATAACGAAGAACTATGTAGTTTCATTGGAAATCATAGGTCACAAGGAGTGGATGCATCTGAGCCATTGAGAACGATTTTGAGCCATATCACCAATTGTTTCCAACCGTTGGTTTTTACCGCCATTGGGTTGATCTCTTCCCGGTTAGAGACCTGGTTGGCTGATATAATGTCCTAAGGTCTCTTTTACGTGCAGCCTGCCTGTTCTGCTTCAGTTGCCGGCCAGTGTGTCGTAGAATTGTCTTCTGTCGTTCCTGGCACTCTTCTTCACGTCTTTCTTGATTCAGTACAGTGTACATCGCTGTGAACTCAGCTTCTTCTGTTGTCCATCTTTGCATTGAGTCGTCTTCTCTTTCGCCATCCTCCTCTCCTCGATTAGCTTCCAGGTAGGTGTCCGTTGAGAGCCATTTCTTGTCGTGTCTCTTCTTTTTTCCTAGAACATTTGTACACGTTTCCCTGAACACCACATTCAGAGAGATCCAATGTTCTTCTACATAGGTTTCCTCAGTGATATCACGTAGTGTATCCGACTTTGCTCTGATTTGTTGTGTGGTGAAGACATTCCTTGTGGTAATTTTAATTAGGCCTCATCGCTGATAAAGCCGATCAAGTCTAATGTGAGAGCAGCTATTGGACTGTGGTTGCAGGATTCCTCGAATCCTCAGAGTATAAGAATTCTCACATCTCTGTGAGTACGGACCTTTTAGTAAATGGTAGGATTAGTTGACTCGACGCACTGAAGTTGAACTCAAACTCTTCATTTTTAAGGAATTATTTTCAGTTACTGTTGATACACTTACATATTACTACCTATAAACTTTTTGCAAACGTTTTGCCATTATTTCAAACAGGTGTGATGACGAAATTCACCTGAACGAGTTTTCTGGTCATCTTCTACGTTCAAAACCAATAGAATGTAATGAAGGTGGGATAGTGGCGGGATTCGGTTGCCTGGATTCACCGTTTATCACATGATTCAGCTGAAATCAAATGTCGTTTTCTGCAGACATTATTTATACGCGGTTCCTAATTGCATATCTTTGTAATTTAAAAATGCTGTGTCTGATTTTAAATTATCGATTTTAAGACTACTGTTTAGAAGCTATTTTACAAAAGGTATATCTTTAAATATCACTAAGTAAATTGATAAGGATTCGTTTAGTATTATCTTGGATATTTATATTTAAATGTTTGTTTTCTTCAGGTGATGTAACAATGAAATGAGCACAGCTAAAATTCACAGTCTAGTTGGAATTCACGAATTTAAGTGTACCCGTACGGTTGATTTCGGGTGAGCACTATGTTTAAGACAGTAGAATAAGCCTGCTCACCAAATAGTGGGAACTGGCTTTTTATATTTTCCTGGCCTAACAAAAGTTACTGTAACTTACAGATTCAAAGTTCATTTGCCCATCTTCTCACACTAAGGTCGTTTTTTACGTGCTTTATAACCAGTGTTTGGTTTTTAACACTGACAGATAGGAAAGTTTGGAAAAAAAAACCAGTTTATGTCCGCACTGTAATGGTTTGAAGGATCTTTACTAACACATCCGTAGAAGTTTGTCTGTGCATTAGGATGAAGTTAAGTTTTCACTTCACTTTTATTTGATGTTTGCTATAAAAGCTGTGTTTTATATTATGGAACCTATATTGCCCGTTTTATGGTATCCACAGCGAAATCCTATAAGAAGTCAGGAAATATGATGTTCATAATCAAATTGTTCCCGTTAACTAACGAAGTGACTGCAGTCCTTTTTTCGATCTTATCTGTTTTAAGAAATTATCGCTGTCCGACTTCTAACCATGTGTGAAGGCCTAGTACCACTACTACTAGCTTTATAGGTTGTTGTCCGCTTTTAAAAACTAGCTACACGGTGAAAGCTTATTCAAAAAAAACGTTACAGAATACCTCTGCATGTAAAATGTTTTTATTATTTCTCATATGAATCGTAACTTTATTTTTGTAAAATGACATGGAATCTACACTGAACTCTTCACTGTCTATGCGGTATGCAGTAAATAACTGACCGTGTCAAACTTTGGTTTAACACTATTGAGAAAGTTTGGTATTTACTGGAGTACACTGAGATACTGGTTACTTAGCACCAGTTTTTGTCTTTACATTTGAAGTTCACGCATAAACAGAATCCTTTGAATGACATTTCAACTACAATAAGATTTCTATCGAAATTTTCACCCCATAAATCAGATTTGTAATGTGTAGGTTGAAGGAAACACTTGCCGATTTATTGTTCGTTGGCTTTAGAACCGGCAATTAAATCTCAATAAGAAATTGTCAGTAATCGTACTACAACAAGAACCATCATTACATATTTATCAGTAAGTGTTATGCAGATGGTTATTATTTTCAATAATCTTCTCACTGGCAGTTTAATTATGGCCTTCACTGTGCATTGAAGAATATTTCATATTGTGTAAGCCTAACATACTGCTACACCCTTATACAGATTAAGTCAGTAGAAATGGCATAGAGAGAAGGGTTTGATTTCTTTTCATTTATGTGTTGCTCATGAATCCGCTTAAAGGAGCGTAGGAATATTGATAAACTTTTACGTAATTCAAATTAAGATTACTTGTCGTTAAGTAAACTGTGAAAGATGAATCATGACATCTAATAGACAGAATTAATGACTATATTTGTGATAAATTCCGACTAGCATTCGCTTCTTGATTGAAACTTAGTGATTGACAATGCACCAAGTGGGCTACATATATGAACTGCAGCTCTAGTGCCATCATGCATTTTCTCGAATTTTCTCAGTCACATTTATATGAATAAAGCGGAATTGATAAACTATGTATCATTATTTTCCAAAGCTCATGATGAACAAATACCATTAATTAAGTAAATCAATAGCAATGTAAAAAGCACACGATACAATCAAAAAATAAGTAGTCTTGAAAACTGTCAACCAAGAGACATTCGAGGTTTCTCGTTGCAAGGCAGTTGTAGTAAAAACAGATTTCGGTTTTGATTTAAACTAAAGCGACGGTCCCCTGAACACTGTGAAAAACCAATATGGTTATCATTTGTCCCACAGAATCAGGGGTCCGACCCCCGCCGACGCACACCCGATATCTATGTTCGGCCTACAAAATTTGGGCTACCGATATCACATGCTGAAAATTTCATACATGTACCAAAAATACGGTGTGGAATCAAGCTGTAATCTAAATGAAATAAAGAATCATAACATCAACTTTCTACTTTAATTATTTTAACTAGTTACTTATTCACAAAACGACATCAAAAACACTTGAGCAACATACCCAAAACTAAAAAGTGACATTTATTCTTGACTCCTTAACCTTAGTGATTACTTTACGCCAGTTACGAAAAACAGACGTTAATGCGAAGATTTACCAAAAGGGTACAAATCGCAATTAACTTACTTCAAAACACTAAATCTGTATCAAATAAAACAACACGTAATTTTATCCCACAACCCATATTAAGAAAGGTGACTAATATATGCCAATAAATGAAAAATTTCGAAGTGAAATTTTATAAGAAAAATGAGTGTTACTATTGTGAAAGTACATAAATACATAAAGGTACGTCACGTCAAATAATACTGAAAGGATTCTTACCATGAAATCACTTCAGGAAAATAAGATGGAAGGGTTCTGAAGAAACCTATACTTGTCAGTTAGTCTCTCGAGGGATATATCTTTGCTGGTACAATTTCATTACTTAGCACTTTCGTCGCCCTAAGCATAATCTTTCCGAAACATTTATGTATTTTCAATTAACCAGTGTAATATAATCAGTTGCCCAATTCTATGACCTACACATGATGTATCACGGTAGGTTATCTACACCAAAGCATGTGTAGCGAATCCAAGTCGGTCACCTTTACTTAGATACGGAGAAGTGACAGTTAAGGCTTCTTGATTACATAGTTTTATATCCAATATAATAGCATCTATATTGTTCTCTTCGCTAGTTCTGCTCACTTAGTGTAGTGTTTACAAACCCAAGAGATTGAATACACCTTCCTACAAAGCTTACTGCTGCTATGTCAGTCTCTAAGTAAATTATTTAGAGGTGAGGAGGTTTGAAGACAAATTCTTACAGCTGACTGTTAAAGAGTATTTAACAGTAATAAACTTTCTTCAGGACAACAACTATTAATAGTTTCTTTAAAGACAGAAAATAAATGATTTAGGTTTAATTCTATGCACTTGGATAAAATTAATATTAGTTAACGCCTGCTTCAGCGATGCTCAGTAACGACTTATTTCTAACGAAGTCCGTTTACGTAAAGAAAACACCGACAGACCTATCAACCACAAAAATGAGCTCAAGTTAACAAAGAACGATTTTTAATGCATAAATCATAAAATTCCAACGTGTTGCGTTCGACGATAATTTTACACCTAAGGTTAACAAGTTCATTTAACCTTTTGGTAACGTGTGGAGGGAGCCTTCTCTTTAAAAATTGAAAACAATTAGTTCCCTTTGTGAATCTAGATAAAGCCATGGGAAGACGTAATTTGTCTGAATTGTATGTGATGTATTTGCGCAACACATTTCGAACAATCTGATCACACGTAGAATTGTCATGGGAATATATATGAAATTAATAAAGAAGTGAGAAAATAGACTTAGGTTAAGTTAGAAGGACATATTCAAGGTCAATGAAGACCACTAAACCAAATAGCAGAGGTAGTAGTACATCTGCTATGATATCAAAACAAAATTTACCAAGGAAGGTTTAATGTGATGACGAATTGCTTTTGAACGCATGAGCGCGGCTTAAACTTTCTAATTGCTAGGGCTTCCACTTTAGGATACGCCCCAAACACGTTTTATAGATAGGTTTAAAAGATCTGTTAACGTCAATTTTATGTCCTGTCTCTACATGTTTCGCAACAGAGCTAGTTCTCTTGTTCTCACCGTTAATAGGTTCTGAAGATTCCATTTGTTTCTGGAGCCATTTAGGAATATGCTCTGAAGCCCTTACTTGCAGAGATCGATGAGTCCTCCCTATGTATGTGTCCACACGTACATTCAAATTGGTAAATACAGAGGGATATGACGTAATTTTTCGCATGCTCGAAGGGCTTAGATAGATATGTTGGCTTTACACTCTCTATTGCTATGATATTAGCTGCATAAAAAGTATTTTCAACAGCAGCGTTCAGTCTTTGTCTAGTTACCAAGCTGCTTTGATGCCCCATATAGGGTTGCTTGATGTACACACGATTCAGAAAAATGACGTCTTCCCATGGCTTTATCTAAATTTATAAAGGGAACTAATTGTTTTCAATTTTTAAAGAGAAGGCTCCCTCCACACGCTACCAAAAGGTTAAATGAACTTGTTAACCTTAGGTGTAAAATTATCGTCGAACGCAACACGTTGGAATTTTATGATTTATGTATTAAAAATCATTCCTTCCCGAAGAAATTTTTATAAAACTTTGAAATTCAGTAAATTTCAACAAAGAACATAATTCCAGAGTCACTGCTGAAAGCGAATCATAGTTTGTTAGGTTAAAGTTGACTGCAGGAGTTGCATCTATTATTATTATTATTGAGTTAAAGGTTTAATGAAGAATAACCGGTCGTTAGAGTGTGGGTGCCATGACTATGCACTACTTAAAGGGAGTTTTAAATTATGCAAGGACTTATCTTATTTTTTTCTTATTGGAGGTATAGTCAGATAGTTACGAAAGTGTTAATCATCGTCTAGTAATGTCTCTCATCTGCCGTGCAAGCCTCTACAGCAAGTAACCAGGGAAATCTCTCAAAATTGCTAATTGATTTCAGCAACTTCTTTTGTACTACCACATGGATAAAAACTGATCCAATTACGTTACGTGTACAATGGCGAAAAAACTTGATGAGAAGTGATAAATAATAAAGATAAATTGCATGCAAGAGGTGTTGTGATTAGTGAACAGAACACTTCAGGGTCTCTAATTTATTTTCAGTCGTCTGTTTATCTAATTAAAGACAGTGTACTGTGTGAAACAAGTAACGTAGTAAATATGAAGCGTTGTGACGGCTGAGGATATAGGTTTGGGGGTCTGTTCGTACAGTGGTATGCAAGTGTCCACCTAACCAATTAAAAATAAAGTTGAAAACATCGCACAGGTATCTTTAAACCTTAAATGCGGCATCCTATGGAAAATACTAATCTGTTCTTAAATATTCAGA